TGCGTGGCTGTTTTGTTTGTGACCTAAATGGGAATTTACATAACAATGGCCAATAAGACTTTGCATTGCATTACATTACAATTGTAATTTAAATTCTAAAGTCACAAAAAATGTATGTGGAGCTCCCAAGAGCTCATCGTCTGATGACAAAAGTCACTCGAACCCTAGAGGGCTTGGGGACATTGAAAGCTTTCAATGAAATCCTGAGGAACTACACTTGAGTCAGATTGCTTAATAATCCAGCAGTAATTGTTTTTATCATTTAAACTGATATTTCACATCTCTGAAAAGACACATGCTGCTGTCAGAAGAGGCCTGTGAGGAGGTTTGGGGTCGAAACTCATTGCTATGAAAGAGCTATGATCCTCCAAGTGAGGTTAGATACTTGGCTACAAAGAAATTATCAGCCCATATCGCATCACTTCTAGTTAGGATCTTGCACTAAAACGCCCACATGATGATTCCATAAAAGTGGCAGCAGCGGGAGCGTGGGCAGCTCTACGTTGGACATAAATTTGGCGGCTAGCCTGTTGTCACTCGTCTCATCAGCTCTCCACAGAGAGCCTCAAATACAGAATTGGTCAACCTATGTAATGGAAGTCCAATTATGTGCTTTATTTGTTTTGTTTTGTCATCACAACCCACAGATACATCTTTTAACAACAGTAGACGAGTGTGAACAGAGTTGTCAAAGCTTTTGCCGGGTAACTTTTTTTGGACTCGTGCTTTTTTTTAATCTCTCAAAAATCCCCTTACATAACCCTAACCTTCACATTAAGATTATAGGCTATTACCCTGCTGCTACTAACTCACAATGTTACATCATCTGGAATCAATATGGCTGCATGGCAAAGAAAAGCTGTAGTAACAATGAATCACAGGAGGCTAATATTTTTAGGTCTTTTTTTGACGTGGAACCCGATGCTTTAAAGATTGTTTCTCTGAGGTGTAAACTGGCCAAAGTTCCAACCTAGTGCAGGAATTATTCAATGCTTGTGGTGAGCTCACAGTGCTCTGCATCATGTGTAGCCCTCCTCATCTGTGCTTGGAGAACGCAGGCTGGAGCACTTACATAACCTAGTTAAAATATACCCCAGTCACATGTAACATTCAGCCCTGCAGATAGATATCCCACTGTCGCTTGAGCTGCTCTGGCAGCCGTTCAGACACTAGAGAGAGTATAAACATGCACGCACGCACACACACATACACAGAGCCATAAAATATTTGTCAGTGGTTTGCTGCCAGACATTCTCAACTGCCTGCATGTGAACTGTCTGTGTGGAAAATGGTCAGGGAGCTTTTTCTCTGGATGAAGCACATGTGACTGAAGTTGGAAGAGGGAGAAGGTGCAAAAGGAAGAGGGAGGGTGTATGACGGGGCGCCGGAAGTCCAACCCTTTAAAGCAACAAAAATGCAATGAGTATCACTCTGACTGCATAACCTCTAATATCAAATCTAAATTCGATTGGCTGCGCATACAACTGACACCCCACCCTGCTGCAGCGTGCCCACAGTACATGCAGTTACTCTTCTAGTGTGTGGGTGGGGTTTATTTGTAGAAGTAGCATTTACTGTAACAGGATGACATATCTGGAGGAGTAATATGCTACACTAGGGAGAAGTGGAAGACATATTTTCTAACCAAGATTAAAGCTAAACAGGGTCCAGACATGGTGAAGGATTGCCCAGATTCAGATTAAAGTCTAAAGCAATTTCAGGCATTCTGTTATTGTCACGTGGAACATCTGTGAAGATCACTGTAAAAAACATAAGCAGAGAACGGGATCCAAGTCACAAAGTTCATCTTCAGCTAGATTGATGGGAAAATTAGGTTTTATTCCTCAAAGCTGACATGCTCAATTGGTGGCTGAGACTTGAGGGAGGTAGTCCAAGGCTTTGCAAACATTACAGGAAAAAAAGTTATGTAATCCTGTTATTACAAGTCTATGAATCATTGCAAGGACCCAATATTTTGTACCGATGTCAATTATGTCCAGCCAGAGGACGTTTTTAATGTCTGGTGCACCTTTGTGTTTACATTTGTGTTCCCTGCAGCAGCTTTAGTTGTCGTTAACACAGTTATGGACATTCCTGTCGGTTTTCTCCTCCATCTGAGCTCCAAACCAAAACCTGTCCCTGAGTCGCACTCCTGCTATTAGTGGTGAGCAGGCATAACGTGAACAATGGTGTCGGAAGTCTGTTGTTTGCCATCCCAATTTAAAGAAACCATGCATGTGTGTGTCACCATAGGTCAGGTTTTGAGTTTGGGAAAGCATATGGAGCAAAGCCAGGGTACACCCAGCTGAGTCATATACACAGTTCACGCGACAGATGTTGATATAACAGACACAAACGCAAATACGCTCCCGTGCAAATGGCACCCAAACACTCTCACATGTATGCCTGCGTCCCCTTGCAGTATATTTACCGGTAAGGCCACAGTGTCTCTGATTCCCTCACTTTATGCATGTGCAACACGGGTCAGTTTAGGTTATTGGCTAGTGCTTTTGATGGCAAGTCATTGCATTAGACATGTGACGCTGCCTGAAAATGAGAAACAGATTTTACAATACCGTAAATCGTGCACACATGTACTTGAGTTCAGAGCTGCCTTTAGTCCATAGGGTGAGGTGCGGTTGATGCTCCCCACGCACACGTGCTGCGTCTTTATTTTTTATTTTTTCGAGAAGACAGGGTTAGACAGGGACAGATGTTCAGCGTATGCCCTATAATAAAGTGGGTGTGAGTCTCTGATTGGTCTTTTATTTTTTATGAATGAGAGCGGGAGAAATCCAGTCTCTGTGGGATATGTTTTCAGCCTGCCTCTCTGACAAATTGAAAATCGCAGTGCCAGTTTGTGTCGTGTGACTCATCTTGGATCCTGACAGGAAAACGCACAGATAAAAAGAGTTCCCTTTTGTGAACAGACTGCAAATTGCTGCTGTTGTTCTTTATGCGAATGACAGATTGTGAAAATTGGAGAACGGCTCCGTAGAATTGGATTCGTGTTAAACACTTAAGCATTCCTGGCGAGTACACAAAATACTGAAACATTCACGACAATCTGTGGCTAAGGTTTCTATATGTATGATGCCATGCGTGCGTGGTTCAGAATGCTGAATGCATGAGCCCAATAAAAGCTCTTTGAACATCAAATGCATGTAGATATGTCTGTTTCCTGTGCTTTGAGGTGAATGTGATATATATTTCACAGTGACAGCCTCTAAGACAAATAAGGGAAATGAGAGTTTGCTGGAAAGCTGTAGGAAGCTCTCTGTCGTCACAAAGTCTGGGGTCACCGGGGGATCAGAGCCTGGGGAGCAGAACAACAGCAAGCTGTTTGTGGGATGTGTGAGAGACCGCTGTGATTTAGAGGACAATTAAAATTCAAAATGAACGTCTAACCGTGCCAGTAGGTGTGTCACCTTGACTGGTTTTAGAATGCATTCTTCACAGCAGGATGTGATTACAGGCTCATCCGTAGAGAGCAAAGCTAGTGTTTGCTGGTGCCCTCATCCTGCCTGCTCTTCATTGTGACGGCAGCACATAAAGCAAAAGTAGCCACATATGCTACTCTATGATCACTTGACCACAAATTGCCTTTTCAATCTAATTACAATGGTACAAGCTCATTACAGAAGGCAAAGATGACAGTCCAAGAAGTCCTTCTGCATTATATCTCAGACAGATTTGCACCCGGTTGTTAAAACTGTCTGGGCAGCGTCCTCGGCTCTGTAAACATCTCGCGGAGCCTTTTCGCATGTGACCTGTTTACTCTGGAGAGAGAAGGGGGGGAAATGTTTTGTTTCAAATCCTGTCTATCCGCATTGTCAACTGAGGGAGATGAGGAGACCAGGCCGTTTGTGCTTTTTGGGTGGGCGTCTCCCAGGCGCACGTGATCTCTCTCCCCGCCCCCCACCACTGTTTGCTGTGAAAGGGTTCGTGACTCACTGGCTCCAAGCTCAGGATTCTTGTCTGGCCTCTGACAGAGGGCACTTAATCCTACTCTCTCATGCAGTCAAACAGAGGTCCTATGAGTCATCAGTTTTACCATCACTGTGCCTAGAAAAAAATAAATTATAAATTTTAAAAAAAATACAGAGCTATGGTCAAGAAGAAGCAGCTTTGCGTGTGTGTGGAAAAGTGGGTCTGGTTTCGTGTATTTACCTTCTCAAGAAAAGCAAAATGAAACAATTAATGACTAATTCCACTATGATTCATCTTAATGCATTATTTACTTAGTCACTCACAACTTGGAGACATCTTATGTAATGTCTTGTGGTATGCAGAAAGCATTCATGTACTTACACAAGTACTGTATAGTTTCGCAGCAGGTACTTTCTCTCGTCTATTTCTCCTCTATTTTCTAAAAGCTAGTTACTTTGCAGGTCATTCAAATTAAGCGTGTTATCATTTTATAACGTTAAACGATAACAAAGTAGCCTTATATTACAGATTTAAATGTCAGAAATGACCTAATAATATATATTACATGGACAGAATCTTCCTTATAATAAATACATGTGAATCGATCTTACCAGTTGCCCTTTACTTTGTCATCCCCACTCACCACACCACCACCATTAGCAAACATATTTTAAATGTGCAAATTTAAGTGCCTGCTACACTCTACCGAAGTGTCCTTGGGCAAACTCATTAACTCTCACACTTGTTCCTGAAATTGCTGACTGCGCCTTTAGCAGTGCCGCTCATCTTACTGACATGCCTCAAGTCAAGCATCATCATCCAGATGATATAATGCCCAAGAATGCCTGTAGAATGACCACAGCCAGCCCTGGCTTGACTTTTCACCCAGCTGCTGAAATGAAACCGATCCGCGTGTCCACGTGTTTGTGTCATTTCCATGTCATTTGCATATGTAAACCGGCCTCGCCTATTGCTCCGCGACTGCACTGAACGGAGGAGCCGATTGGACAGTCGGAGCCGCTCGAGGAGCAAATGGGAGCGCATGCTCCTGCTAGTCCCGCCCTCCCAGACACGTTGCCTTGGGAGAAGCAACACGGGCCGATCACTGGATGTTCTGCCTCCTCTCTCTCACGCCGCACGTCCAGCACATCAGCTGCTCTCTGCCTACAGTCCTACTGGATTTACCGCTAAACAAAGGAAGAACGACCAGCCGCTCCATCCTGAGAAGGTAGGCACCCATTCGCATCTCCTTTTAATGCCCAGAGCCTCCCGATAAATATAACTTACTTTGTGTTTCTGAGAGGACTAAGCGATATCCTAGTAATATTATTATTTTAAATCATCCAGAGGCATTTCACACAGACAACCTGGTCAGAAAAACAAAGAGTTTGCGGTTGTGTTTAGTGCTGCGATATGGTAGCCTTCCCGTTACAGGGACTGGTATTCCTGTTTCATTTCTTTCTTTATTGTTTAAATATATATATTTATATTTTACTAATTCAGCATGATGCCAAATTTACTGAGACTGATGAGGAAGTCTATTGTGTCTGTTACCCAACTGATGTGAAACCCGCATTTAGGCGGACAGATCAGACCTGCCACCTTATCTTCCTATACGCGTTTTCTCTGGCGAGAGATAACGACGTGTGAATATCTGAAATATTCTCTTATATTTCAAGCATATCGGCGTACGTGTTAAGCGCTGGGCATCTCTATTCAGGTGCCCCACCTACACAGGTAGATGTAGACGTCGAGGTCGCGGAAGCTAACTGGTATATATATATTTTTAAATTGCTTTATGGGACCACCTTTCCTTTGATTCAGAAATCCACGGTGTTAGCTGTTATCAGTACCTCCTACTGCTATTTAAAGTGTTATTAGAATATAACTGTAGGCCTATATGCGCATGCAAAGGCCCAGGGCAAGTGAATATTTAGTAAGCTCGCCATGTGTATGCTGTTTTTATCACAGAAAGAAATTAGTAGTAGCGTGGAGCTAGTCATGGCACATATATGTTGATATATTTTCTCAGTGCTATTGGATTCATTTAGAGTTAGTATATTAATAAGAAGGGCGACTTTTATACAATTATAGAGAGAAATTAGATTTTCTTTTTGCTACTGCAGTGTCTGTGCATGTTTTGTGTTGTGTAATACAGTATTACACAACACAAAACAGACTGACATTGCAGTAGCTTGGAATTAGATTCAAGATTCTTTGGGACTTTGCTGAATCTCTTCTATGGCGCTCAATACTCACGTGCTCCTGTAAATCATTGCTTTGATTTAGAGCAATGATGATGTATATGTTTTGCGTTTTATTCAGTATATCAGTAAATGTCCGCTCCACCCCTCCTCTGTAACAATAAGATCAGAAGGCGACAAAGAATCAGGGAGCAATTAACCCCTCTACCCTCAAATTTTACAGGAAGCAAGAGACATGGCAGTCCTTAACTCTGGAAATCCTAAAATGATCTCTGTGCTGAAAATGCTGTTCTCACTTCCCCTCTTGTAATAAACACAGAGGGAACATACTGCAATTAAGCCTCCGTGAAGAGCCTTTAGTTGGATTTTCTTTTTTATTCAGAAGGCGTTCATTGCTGAAGAACGCTTCCCATTTTCTTAAATCTCTTTTTTCACCCCACAAGTGTCACTTGTGTTGATGGGAGGTCTGCGGTTCGTCGAACTACTAGTCGTCATGGTGGCAGACCTCTGCCCCTTTGAATAAGCAAGCGAACGAAGTGTATGAATGAATGTGGTGGTAGCAGCTGGCAGGCCAGCTGACAGAAGCGGACTGAGGGTGGTGGGGGGGGATAGTCAGGGTAGCAATTGTGAAATTTAGAAATGTGTTTGTTTGTGATGTGAAGACGCTTGAGGGTTGCAGTGAAAAAAATTTGGAGGGACAAATGACGTGAGCCTCCCACCCACCACCCTCCGAGTATTGGATGGGGCACGGGACCGTTTGCTGTTTGCTTTTGATGGTGGCTGGCCTGTGTTTACTGGCTCAGGTGTTGCATCTGCAAAACAAACAGGTCATTGTGGTCCCAACAACTGTTATCTCACTGCCACCATCTGCTCCGAGTACACTGCTGTCCCTCCTCTGTCTTTATTGTTATTTCTGCTTGGCTGGACTTTTTTGTTCTTTCTTGACTTTTTGCTCGAGAACACTACATTTGATTATTTTGGCTAAAGGCCTTGATGTAGTTAATTTTTAATTTACTGTTTCTCGTCTCCGCGTCTGTTATCGCTGCTCCCTTTAATATGTTTCGTGTTGTTGCAATGTAATAACGGTGAGTTTCTCTTTGTCAGGTCGGTGATGGTCAGTGCTATTTAGACCCTGCAGCTGAGGATGTCTGCTACAGATTCGGACAACTCCATTGACTGGCTGGCTAGCGACAATGAGGATAATGAGAACGAGCAGGAGCCTGACTGTACCAGAAAGCACAGCCAGACAGAAGCTCCTTTATCCCCCTGTGCCGCTTCGCACCTGGGCCCGACTGACAGCAGCTGCCGCTGGAGCAGCGACTTGAAGGAGGGCGACGGTAACTGGAGCGGGGTCAGGGAGGTCTCCAGCCGGGGATCTCCCGGCTGCATGGAAAAATGGGACAGAGACACCGCCACTGGACTGTGTAAAACACAGCAAGGAGAAAGAATGAATGGCAACAACACTCAGCAGGCACTGAAGAGACCCCGCGGCTCTACAGAGGACGAATGCAAAGAACGGCAGCTCATTGCCAACATGTCAGAGAAAGAGAGAATTTTTAGCAGCAAGGTGAGCGCCTCTGTGGTTCATGTGTGCTTTCCACAGACAGTGGTTGACAGTGTCAGCAAAACTAGCGCGTACCCTGTCACCCAGACTGATTCCCGTAGTGGTTTTACAGAGTGCTTCCTGCATGACATTTCCAGTAAAAATGACCTTCCCCTATTTGCTATCCGTTTCTAAAGAACTAGACTTTTTCTGTCTTAAGTCAAACAAAGCTAGTTAGTCATGGAAAGTTGTTGTCAATTAATATAACAAAATGAACTGGGGGGAGGCTGATTTATTATGAGCTTATCAGAAAAGGTTTTTCAGTTGTTTTATTACCCACTAACACTAATAAATCTGTTATTATTTTCAGTGCATGGAGCTACAATGCTACATTCATCCACTGTCATCAATCTTGAATGGCCTTCGTTCAGGGAGATACAAAGAAAGTAAGTCAGCATTTAATATGTCTTCTGCTTCACACACAAGATATTAACCTGATTGAACACAGAATGTCTTAGTTGAGTCTGTTTTTCACGGTCTCTTTTGTCTCAGAAAGAAAAAAGCAATAGAGCGCATAGACTACGCAAGTCTTTGTGGAATAGGTGTCCTTGAGATATGAGCGCGAGACGTCTGAAACATGCGTTGCCATAGGACTGTCATCTAACCACAAGCATTCCTTGTATATGTGCGCATGTGTGTGTAAACTGATGCAGTTCTTGAGACAGATAGGCATTATGAGGATCTCTGAAAGAGAGCACCGTGTTCAGGCGGGCGCAAAAACTGCTTAGTTTGGGATCTTAGTCAAACCCGAACCTCGTGTGACCCAGCACTTCCTGGCCACAGAAGCAGGGAGTCTGTTCCTTCACACACACATTTCACACTACCCATCTGCTGAACAGACTCAGCCCTGCTGTCAACACAGTTCATGTGGCTCATGCTACAACTTTCTTCTTGCCAGGACTCAGCAGTTTCCAGGAGAGTGTCGCCATGGACCGGATTCAGAGGATCATGGGTGTTCTGCAGAACCCCTACATGGGGTAGGTGACCCACATTCTGCCCTACATGAAACAATGATAATCGGTACTTTGACATAAATGTGTCAGCGTAGAAAATCTGTGTGCTCTTTTCACTTGTGGTTTCAAACCCGTGTGAGAACCACAGTGCATCCCCCAGCATACATATACAAGGGCTACCCAATACTGCTTGCTATCTGTGGGTCGAAGTGGTCTCCGTTATGTTTCTGACACATGGCTCACAGCAGGTTGCTGCTACCCCCGCACATTCAGGATAAATTTACTGCAGAGATGGCTGCCTCTCACTAAAGCTGGGCATCTTGTTAAAAATGTATCAGGCTTCACTGTGAGAGCGGCCCACTTGTGTCTGTGTGATTAGCTCTCCACCGGCCAGACAGCATAATGGAATATGCTATCACCCCTTTCAAGGAGAAACTCTTATAGTCCCTGTTTCCCAGTCAAATTTAAAATGTTTTGATATTTCACATTGTTAAATGGAAAAAAACTACCAATTCTCAAGTCCTTATGATCTGATTTTTAGTGCAAGTTTTTTCCCACACATATAAAAAAGAATATCTGTCCATTCATTTGCGCATTTTCTTAACCGCTGAATAGAAAACTTCCATATCTGATGAACGTTGCTATCAAAAAATTCCAGAAACTCGTGTAATATATGTTTCAATTATCTGGAAACATCACATTTGAGAAGCTGGAAAGTTTTGAGTTTTTGATTTGAATAATCACTTTAGAGCATAATTTCACAGAGCGATTGCACTCAGCGATCGTATCAATACTATTTGATTACACTGAAACGAAATCCCGGCATCGTGTACAGTTTAGCTGTGAAACTGAATAGGAATCTTTGGGGTGCAGTTAGCACGAGGCTTTGCATCAAGGTATATTAGACAAAGTGCTCCTGAGCCTAGCGCAGACTAATTGGAGCCCTCACCCACCAGCTGCTGCCTCCATAAGGGAAACAAAGAGTGGGTGTGGCAGCCTCCCTGCAGACAGCCAGGGCAGAGGCTGGAAGGTGGACTAAACCCCTCCCTCGTGTCTCTCCTGGTGTCTGCTCTGTGTTGCCAGCTGGCAGCCCCTGGAGCAACACAATGGTAGATAGGATCAAAGTGACTTTTTTTTAGCAGCCACTGTGGCGGATAATCTTTCACATGAATTTAACATGGGTTGGACTGAATATAGCAGGAAGGTCCCGATCGTACGGCCCAGGCTAATCCCCGCTCGCCATCTGGTTCTGACGGGCAGCAGTTAAGGGGGATTCTGACTGCGCCCACCTCCGACGTGAACTGCGTCAACTGTTTTATTTTTACACTGACGCTGTGGGAGAACGTTGTGGCTTTGGCGTTTATATTTAGAGGCGAGCGGGAGTATTATACGCCAGTCCACGTGTGAGCTCAAAGCATGTGAGAAATGTACTTAAGACAATGTTCCCCTCCCCACACACGGAGAGCAGGCTTTGTTGAGCGAGCGAATGTGTTCGCTTGCTTTTCAAGAGCGGATATTTCCTGTGCGAGCTTGATGGGGAGGTAGATTTCAGAGAAGAGGTTACCAAGATTTTTGCTCGATTACTCAGATTCGCGCGCGATAGCTTGAGTAAATAGCTCTCTCTCACTCTCTGTTTCTTTTCTTTTTTTTCACCTCTGCTTCCAGGGAGAAGTACATTAATATCATTCTTAAAATGGAAGAAATGCTGAAGAGCTGGTTCCCTAATGTAAAGCTTCAAGAACACCCACTCACTGTCACCCAAACAGAGGAAGCTGCTCCCACCAAGAAACTGAAGGTAAAGTTTAAAAAAAAGAAGCTGTTGTGTAAGAGCTCTTCGCCTAAATAAATCCCGCTGCCAAGAACATATGGTGACGACTCAGTGAAAGAGCGACTAAAATATCTATTATTATTTAATCACAGGTCTGGAACAGGGACAGGAGGATTAAAAGCTATTTTTACTGAGGTATTACTGCAGTCTCAGGTTCACTAAGAACAATGACAGAGGAGAAAAGGTAATTTTGGAGGAGTGTCCCTAAGGGGATAAGAAAGGTCAGGATACTTTAGAACATTCCTTTGCATTTAATTGGTGAGGAATTAGTCCCGACACACCCTGTCATGAACAGGATTTTATGATCTACATTAGGTTTTTTTTATTCTTTATAACCGACTACACCCACTATGATCGATACTGCTCATACCAGATCCCTACTACCAAGTCTGATTGCTACAGTGTGTAAATTATGCAGGTGGTGCAGCTCAATCGGAGGAGGTTCCCAATTCAAGTATTTCTAGTAGCGCGAGCGTGGCTGAACGCGGAGTATGTCTTGCTCTGTGCTACGTGTGAGAAAAGAAAACTGGGGGAATTCTCACGGATTATCTAAAGATGGTGTGTTTAAACAAATACACAGAGAGTTATCGCCCTCAGAACCGTGCTCATAATTTTGGTCTTATTCCTGCCACGCTCTTCAGCGTGTTATTTACTTTCTGGATAAAAACATCTCATTGGACACTTAGTGTCCGGCACCAGATGGCAGACAAACTAAGTAGCTTTTCAACAAGCTGGGGCTTCTAGTAACTAAACAACAAGATCCTCAAGAATTAGTGGAGGCCAAATTACGGTTCAGAGAGACTATTTTAGAAACAAAACTCAAAATTAATGCCAGTGTTTACCCCTAATGTTAGATATTAAACAGAGGAAATTAAATCATTTTGAGGCGCTAATACACTGTGTACATGTGTGTTCGGGTTGTTGCAGCGCCCCACCCAGATTTTGGGGCTTATTTGCTCTTGGGCCATTTTTATGGCTCCTGCAGTGTGTTTAGGGGTGGCTGTAGCTCAGGAGGTAAACCAGGTCATCTGCTAATCGGAAGGTTGGTTGCTTGATCAGAGTGTGAACGTTCGATGGAAAGCACTTAGAGGAGAAAAGTGCTTGTGGTATAAAGTGCTTTGAGTGCTTGAGTAGGAAAGCGCTATAAAAGAACAAACCATTTACCGTTTTAGTGTTGCTTTCAGCCCTTCCATTATCTGGGCCTCACTCAGATTTCTGCACGATGAATATATTATTTATATTTCAGGGTCCTTATAATAACTAGATGGACAGCAAATGAAAATTCGGTCTTGGTAATCAATTAGAATCATCGCTGAATAATAAAACTTTTTTGTCATACCCAACAGCTGTCTCCAGTTACCACATCTGCAGCAGCGAGCGCCATCACTACTAGCGATCCTCCAGCCACCGCCAAAGCCCTGAGAGTCACAGATCTCACTCCTCCTGGAGCTTACTCTGCCAATAATCTGAAGTGGCTCCACACGTCACCCATTTGCTCTCCCACAGCAGAGCAGGCCCAGGCTGGTCCCAGGCCCCTGCTGACCCCCAGTGACAGAGACCTAACGCAGGACAGCGCCGTGTCCTCCAGCACAGACAGCCAAACTAAGACAAACTTGGTGCCCAGAGGCCCGCCGCCGGGCAAAATCAACGCGCCCTGTCTAGAGAGGCTTCTAAAATCGACGGACAGCATCATCACACGTAAGGGAACAGGGCGTTTGACGGACAGCAGCTGGTCCTAGTCCACACAGAGGGCTCGGTGTAAGCAGCGCGCAGAGGAGCCCCGCCTTGCCCACCCTGCAGGGAGCCAATCAGCTCACTTAGCTCATTCCAGCCTTCAGGAGAGATGAGAGCCTTCAAAAGGGATGTTACCGATTCCTCTTTTAATATGGAAGCGGTGTCGATGAACAATGTGACTTTTCTGTACGGCGGTGTACCCTCTCTAACATGACAACTATCTGCTTTATTTCCCTTTTTGTTGACTTATCTCTTCTTTTTTCCCCCCTCTTCTCTCTTTTTATTTTTGCACTCTTCAACAGCGTGTGTGAGAGTTGGAAGGATAAATTTCACATGCTGTGATACCGGAGAAAGTATTTTCACAACTGAATTTGTTCGCACTGGCTTGTAGATGTAAAAAAGAAAAAAAAAATACAGTCTGAGTATCTGTGAAGCTGCCATTACGAGTGAAAGGGAAAGAACTGAAGGAAAGGTTTGTGCTGAAAGGAAGGAAGATATGTCAGTGATCTACATATTGTTGTGCTGAAAATGTGGGTGAAATGTGATGTTGTTCCCCTCCCCTCCCATGACTCCACTCTTAAGTTTATTGATGTGACTGTTACTCATTTGTATTCTTTATAAATAACTCTTTTGGTACAACTGTTCTACCTCAGCGAGCACCACGTCACGGTTAGTGAGTAAGAATGTGAACACTATGCTCAAAGTAAGGACACCTCGACAGAGCTACGGTGAGCCACCAAATGGCCTCTGACGACAAGGTCTGCAGCGCAAAGTCTCCCCTCTTCTACAAACGGAGGATGCTGTCTCAGTGGGGATGCTCTCGTGGCCTGACTGGTGCCAGTGTAAAGAATGTCAACTGCAGATTTCTTTTTCGAGTCTCCCAGTAGAAGGCAAACAGTGCCTGTAACGTCAAGCTGTGCCTGTAAGCTGGTTTAATAAAGAGAAAGAGAGAGAACCGTTTGGAAACCTTGCTCCTCTGTCCTCTGTGGGATGTACAAATCAGGAATTTTCACTCTCCTGCCGTTTTCCTGTTTTGAGTAAGTTATTCAGATCTCGCCAACTATTTTCTGTGGTGAAGCAGAACAATAGCTTTTTTTTTCTTTTCTTTTTTTTGCCACAGAACTGGACAGTATGTTGGACCAGCGGAGAGATGGACAAGCTTTTTTGTCTGTGTAAATCTTACAGGAAGGTTGTCAATTTACCCTGAAAAGTGGCCTTTACAGTGTGAAATTTTATACTTTCAAAATAAATGTGGTTATATTTGTTTGATGCAAAACAAATGGCTACAGATTCTTCTGTTGTGAAATTTCTTAACACTGTAAAGCCTAAACCATGAAACACTAGTGTGTTTATTGAACCTTCTGACAAATCTTTATTAGAAGAATTTAAACATCAAACTGTATATATGAGTATTAATTTATGGATTTTTGTTGCATACTACAACTTATTCCGGCTCTTCAGGGAAAAACAATCACACTGATGATGTAGAGGTCTCAAAACCTGATAAAAATCCAGGTATTCCATATGACACACTTGGTTTTCACCAAAGGCTTTTTCAAAGGGTGACGTATAAGCAAAAAGAATATACACAATGGCCTGAAAATAATTCTCGACCAAGAGCTAAACCCGCTCAATTATGCATCAAAGACCCCCAAAGAAAGAAGAAAAGAGTGCTATCTGATTAATGTCGTAGTTGGGCCAATTATAGGGTGAGTCACTCAAAGCGAGCCTACTTCCTGAGGGAATAAAAAGATTTATTGTTTGCAGGGTAGGGTTTCATCTTCTTTACCTCAGTTGTGCTGTACAGGCAAAGTGAAATTACTGCTTGCAGGGCTCAGTATCACTTCACATTTCTCAGAAAGTGTTGCCACGCTGTGTTTTTACATGCCTGTAGACAGAGAGGAATTCCAAGCGCACAGTTTTTCACAACCTGCAAGAAAGAGGGAGAATGGCTCTGCCTGTGCCAGATTTCACATTTGATTTGCAGATTAGTTCATGAAAAAGGCAAGAAGCAAGTCTTTTATACTCTCGTGTGTGGCCACGATATAAGCAGTTAGCTCCACTTCTAAATGTATTTAGAACATATTTGCAATCCAGCAAGCAAATGCCTCATGTTTGACAAAAAGGAGATGCTTTTTTAATTTTATTTGTTAGGCCCAATTTTTGCTTCTGAACATTTTGTGAAACCACTGATACCACTGACTGTGGATTCACTTTCACTCAGCTCATGTCGAATTTTGTTTCTGTCAGTAAGAACATGTCATGGCCACGAGGTCTGAAAATAGAAGCATGTGGGAGTTCTACAGCCTCGAAAACAACCGTTCAGGAAGTTAAGGAGAGAAAAAATGGTAGCGATCTACCCCATTTTCATTTGTGCTTCACTAAATTACACATCAGCGAAGCACGTGTCTGTTTTTCCGAGCTGAAAGGCTTGATTTGGTCGATTAGCCGCACTGCTTTGTTTCAGTGTTGCTGCCCCAGATCTCATCTCTCAGGAAAAGGCTAATGGCCTGGACTCACGTGCACAGATGACCTGACAGCGTTCGTGTCCATCGACAGCTGGCACAGATCGCCCAGAAAGTTGTTGTTATGAATGATAGGAAGAGCTGCATCAACAAAAGACAGAACTCTCAATATAAACACCCTGCCAATAATGAACTTGTGATGTGATGTAATGTGCTGGGAAAGTGCATGGAAAGCAAAGTGCTATGAATATAAAAGTAAGTAGGTGCAGGATTCTGCAGACTGAGATGGGTGAGTTTAAAAGTACTACGAGAACATGCTCAAAAAGTAAGACTAGAATTTCTCATTTAAAATCATTTTAATAACTGTGAAAGATCAAGAACTGCCTACTCTACTAGAGAGTTTAAGAAAAGGTAAGTTGTAAGTGCACAAAAAATAACCAAGTACCAGAATACATCAAAGTGATGGCAAATTAGATCCTTAATTTTTCAATTATGTTCAACAAAGCGGTACCAGAGTCACCAGATAACATTATAGACCAATTCTACCATGGACAAGAAATCTCATTGCTTTCCTTTTTAAAGGTCCACAGAGGTTATGCTGCACAAAACTGATTGATGTCTGAGGGTTTTTTTTGTATGTATGGGCAGAACTACAAAGACCCAATCATTACTGCAGCAGCAGACATTGGAGCCTTTTATCAGAAGCATTCAAAGGCGAGTGGGAGAGAAGAAAGAGGGTGGACAAGGGGTCTGTGGTTCCAGTCACAAAAAGCCACAAGGAATAATAAATAGGGCTTCATTTTCTCTAGCTGCTCTTTTATTGTAAAAAGGCCCTGATTTGAGCTCCAGCTGGGTTTAAAATGACGATGGGGGTGAGACTGAATCACAGCTAAGGTGGCAGAGCTTCCCCCAGCAGTAGTTATTTATACACCTACTGTATTTATAATCCTCCCATCCAGAAAGAGCCAGATGTGGTGAGTGTGAAATCACTAACAATCCAGTCAATTCATGATATCAAAAGAAAGGCCAACTGTAGCAGTACAGGCAGTGAATAAAGGGCAGATATTTGCAGGACTGCCGCTGATGGTGGCATTCGTTTAAAAAGCTTCATGAAATTGTTAAGCATTCAAACCTTCTGTAATGTAATCATTCCTTTTGTGCTGATGCTCACCGTGGCTCTGCTCTTTTAGACTGTAGTGTTAAAAGACCCAATCACACCATTATCACAGATATTACATAATTACATGTTCTGAACTGCCATCAGCATGTTGTGACCTAGCAGCATGTCAGACCTAAACAGAGAAATACAGCCGTACACGTTTGTCGCTCACGTGATCATATAAGTGCAAAATCTATAAATAAATAAATGACTGATGTGCACATTCTTGCACCAGCGGGTGAGCAGCGTGTGACTGCGTGTGACTGTCACAGATTTTGATTTGGGCTGTGCAAAGCAACAAATTGACTCATTATGTTATTATGAACTGCGGCTGATTCATTCACACTCCACAGAAATAATGGTCTCATCTGTCAGAGGGCTGAGCGCTTTTAATTAAGAGACCTGTGAACCCAAAATATCCCCCGTCCAATTATTAGAAGAGCAGGTTATACAAATGGTGAAAGAGCTGCGACAATCCATGGCTGCTCCTCCGCAGTCCTCGGTTTGCTTATCAACCCTCCATGTGCAGTTTAATATGAACTTCTTGTCTCATCTTCCACTACGCAACCTGAAATTGAATTTGGTGTATGGTTTGTTGTTACGTTTGATTTCACAGTTAAGTGATACGGTATAGTATGAAGTCAGATGCTGTTTTTGCTTTTTTTTACTGATATTGCACTGGGAACATTCTGGTCTCCAGAGCCAAATGACCACCAAGTACATCGATGCAGACACCAGGGGTCTCTGCAATTCAGTACAGCGCTATTGATTTTCCTGTCTCCAGAAGGTTATCCTTAGCCCTTTCAGAAAAAAAATAACCAATGTTCGAACAGCACCACCGCCATTCCGCGTGGGTTTTACCAGCAGCACCTTTTTTTTTAAATATTTCAAACATCAGCAGCAAAATGCTGAAATACATCTTCAGAAAACAAAACGTTTAAAAGACTGAACATAATGTGAAAGCTTCATCACAAAAACTGTAGTTATCAAGGACGCTCTTCTATGAACACTTTCAGTGCATGCTGGCAGCAGAAATGATTGGGCTCATAAATGTGATACTTAAACATTTGATGCAGGAATGATAGCTATGGTGACAAGTCTGTTGTTTTTTCAACACAAGGCCTCAGAGACTAATTATGTGAGCAAAACATCATCGCGCCCTGACACCACCACCATCATCCACATATTGCCAGCTAATTGTCTGCACTTAGTCTTGTAGCTGAGGAGAAGAACTGATTCCTGTATAGACTTACCTGAAATATGTGAAGTATAATCTAGGAAGTCCTTTAGTTTCATATTCTGGTCTGTTTCCAGACATCTACACGTGACAGGAGGCAAAGTGTTCCTTATAGCAGCGTGCCTTTGGGAATACTTTCATATATAAAGGTTCACGACACTTTCAACAACCGCTTCACACAATCAGACGTCTATTTTAACTTCACGGGAGGCTTGAATCGACTTGTTAAAGTGGGTTAGGATAATCATTGTGGATATGTAGAAAGGTGGAACGTGTAATTTGTATTAAGAACATAATAACATGCCTTTGGCAAAAACAAAAAAAGCAACATGATGATAGATATTTGTGTGAGCCACAGTTGTTTGTCCAGGTGCAAAGCATACTAACTTTGATGAAAAGGTCAGCCAATCAAATTTCCTTAAAGGGGAAGACTTGTCATTCTCGGTATCGCAATGAGCAACACTTGTCACCTCCCTGTGGTCTAATTGCAAATGTACCTGTGATGCACATCGCTAAAGATGAAGCAGTGAGAGAGATGAGATCACTGATATGCCACCCAGTGACATATCAAGAGCACAACCACCCACACACTCACCCACCCATTAAGTCTCATTTCCAAGAATAGGGGGCAGACTGTGCTCTTGTAGGTATGAATAATGAAAGCAGCCTCCAGGAGCTCATTTCCAGAGAGTGATCATCAGTAAAGTACGGCCTAATGATCACACAGATAAAGTGAGAGGCTGGCATTCATGATTAATGCCCTCAGGTCTGTCTCCACAGCTACACGGCCTCTGCCATCAGATCTTCTGATGCGCACTGACCACAAAGCATCAGGTGCATCAAGGAAAATAAGATAGACTATAATTTACATGAGTCAGCGCAGTGCTTCGTTCCTATAACAAAACTAGCTGTAATATATCATAGAGCAGATATAAAGAATAAGAAAACATGTTAGTTTCAATAAAGCTGTAGTATTTTGTTTTATCTGATATGTAAATGCTTTTTAGGCACCAACCTATCACTTGATATGATTTTTATGTAGCTTGTTTAAATGCCTGTGTGCTTTTTTGATGTCTAATTTACAAAATAAACTCATTTTTAAAAAATTCCTGATGCATGAATATCTTAAGTAGTCTTCAGGAATAGTTTTCCAGGCTTCTTAAAGAGTGTTTCTTTTGATGTTGGCAGCTTTTTGTTCAATCGTCTGTTGAGATGATCCCACACTGTTTCGATAATGGTGAGTTCCTGGTTCTGGGGAGGCCAATCCACGAATGATAGTGTGTGAAAAACCAGGCTGTTGCCAATCAGATGCTTTCCAGGCAGTGTTGTGTGGTGAATAAAAATCTGACAGTACTTTCAACTGAAAGTGTCAGATCTTTGCTAAATCATTTCCTATTTCTTAAGGACATAACTTTTAGATACTGTTCATCAGCTGTGGCAGGCCACTTCTTCTTTTGCCTTACACTTGTCCAGTTGTCACATTTTTTTAAGAGCAGACTACACACTATGCCATATGAGCATATGAAATATGCCACATTGTCAGTTAAATTCTCTTTGGAAATCACCTTGCAAAAAATACTGTGTTATCTTTGGCATTTTTTGTAGAATGAGCTCAAGAAATGGGATCAAGCAATGTTTTTGTGACAGGCTGCTTCTAACAAAATGCATAGAGCTACAATTTAAAATACAATTTTACAGTTTTGCTAAGTCCTCTTTTTGTGTAGACATACGGAAAACACAAGTCATCCCTTGAGTTTGGTTGCTTCTTTGCTTAAATGATTAATAGGTCAGTGTTAAGTGGCTTAACAAAGAAACAAATAAATAAAAGGTACAAAGAAGAGAATGAAAAAAATAATTAAAAGAAACCTTTTACTCAATACTGTATATGCATGGTTTTCTTTAGTTTAATTGATTTCTTTTTACTTTTCCCCTAAAATAATTTCTTGTAACTATTTATTTCCGGGTATATGGCTGTAGCTTTTGTTATGCCCACTAGATGGCACCATAGTAAAAGAAAAGCACAGCATATCACTTTTTGCTGCAGGCAATGGCCTCAACATCGCAGACACAGTTTTTTAATGGTAAATTATTTATCTACAGCTCACCAGCAGCAGCATTCATGTTCCATTAAAAATAAGAAGAATACCAATAATGGGCCACAGTAGCACCAGGGGCCTGACCCATTTAAGTGGAACAGGGTCATGATGTAAATAATTACACCTGTCAGAATGGCTGGGTAGCTGAAAAGGGCCTATTATGCTCATCATGTGCTAACACTGACACATCTCTGAGTCAAGCACTGTTCCAAAGACACCCTGAAGGACACACTTTGAGCTGACAGCCCACCTTATTTGTCTGTGTGAATGCATCATCAACTGGATCATACCAACGTGAGTCGGCTGGAATTCCATGATCCCACAGAACTGATCCCACCATACCAGCTGTGGCTCTCTTACATGAGATGCAGACCTCACTGTAACGGCTGACTGGAAAGCATGTCATATCACTGTCTACAAAAGACTCAGCTCTTATTTCAGTGAGACATGGCAGGAATATTTACAGTCACCAGCTTGGCTCATCAGGGCGAATAGAGACGAGTGACTCAAACGTGCACTAAATGTTTTCTCTCGTCTCATCAAAGGCCAGTAACTCACAGGCTGTCATTAAACAATAACAGGAGATGTGCTAACATGGAAACAGACTACAGGAGTTTTGTCTGATATAGCGAATTAAATGTGAATCTAAATATTTTGTGCTGCTATAGAGAAGGACAAGAAGGCACACTGTTTTCAGACTGACCCACTTGTTGATTATGACACCTTTCTCAGTATTTGTGTTGAGCTGGCCCAAATTGTGTAGGTCAGGCCAAATTATCCCTTCAATCTCTTTCAGCTCAGCTGAGTCCAAACAGCTCCACTGTTGTGAGGCTAAATAACCAAGCAGTGGCCAGAAGAAACGGCTGCGGCCAACAAAGTAGGTGGATAACACACTGATATTGAGATTATTATTCCTCGTCAAGAGCTGCTTTGTATTTTTTTTTTTTTAACTTTAGTGTGTTTGGCATATTTATGGTTGGGATTTCTGGGTCATCTAGACACAATCACACTTTCACTGTGTGGGAAAATCATTTTACACTTTGCTTGGCCTTAAAAGAAAGGAGATGGTGAGAGTTTAATATCCAGGACTCAGGGTGTAGTTGTCACTGATGCCTCACAACAAGGAGGATGTGGGTTTGAACTTCATGTTGTCTCTGTGCACACAGTCTAAAGGCATGCATGTTATGTTAATTGGCTGTAGGTATGGATGTGATCATGAAGGCTTGTATGTCTCTCTGTGTAAGCCCTGTAGGCTGGTGACCTGTGCAGGGTG